TGTGTGTGTGTGTGTGTGCCCAAGATCTCAAGAGGAGAATGGAGGAGAAAGGATTGCAGTGTGGCCATCCTCCCGGGAGAAGATTTCTCACTTTGTGTCTCTCTGTCTCTGTCTGTCTTTCTGGCGAGCGCATGTACCCTATAGGAAAAAACCTGTACAAAAAAAAAAAAAAAGACTCCACCAAGTGTCTCACATCCTAGCTTGTTCCTGCCCTAAACATGGGCTACTTGGAAAATTTTACCAGGCCTTAAACAAGCACTCCATAATACTCTGTTTTTTGTAAAAGCCAGTAAGGGATTCATTCTCTAGAACAACCTGTCTTTGCTCACCTGCCTTATCTAGGTGTCATGTTACAGAGACTGACCAAAGTGAGTGCTGAAAAGAAGCCTAGATAACAAGACTTTTTGTTCACTCATGTTATTCATTGTGTAAAGAGGAGGCTTACACCCTAGAGGCCAGCAGTTAGTGACCCAGATATAGAACACTGGATGCATGTGAAGGTCAAGATTCTTTCCAGAGTTGGGGGAGATGAATTCCCAGTAAGGAGATCCTCACAGGCCAACTTGAGTCCTCTTAGAGCAATGTACATCCTTTCCACTTTGGAGAACTTCAGCATTCATATTTTCAGCGGCCCCAGGCCTTGCAGGGTGCCCCCTGGACATCTGGTTCTATTGCAGTTTGAAGATCTAGTGTATACTATCTCTGCCAAACAAAGCTTGGAAAAGTAACCCATTCACTAGGAACAGCTGTGTTTACTCATGGGATGATTTAAAATCCTTCTTGGTGAAATGAATGTCATTATCAATTCACATTTGTCTTGCATATAAATGACCAAATGTTTACAGAACAATTGAATCCAAGAGAAGTGTGTGCCATCTCTATTACAGGTTGGGATGAGAAAGCGTTAAAAGGCAAGGCTGTCTGCATCTGATTATTAATGTGTCAACTCAAGGGGGCAAACTGTCTTCCAGTACTCTGGAAGATGTACTCTCATGTGATCAAGCCTAGCATCTCTTAATAACCATAATTTCTAATTAGGTTGCTCCATCCCAGAACTGGAGTTAAACCAGCTAGAGTGCAAATTTTTGTTCCCCCACATGATAGAAGTGTGACCTTGGGCAAGTTAATTAAATTCCTTTCCTCAATTCTGTAAAATGGATATTGGTCACAGAATATACTGCCCCACTCACAAATGTGCACATTCTAACGCTCAATCATGTGACCATATTAGGTCACATGGCAAAGGAGAATTAAGATTGCAGGTGGGATTAAAATTGCAATGCAGTTCACTTTGAAATGGGAGAGCACCCTGTATTATCCAGGTGGGAGCAATATAATCACAGAACCCATTCACGTGGAATAGGAGGGCAGAGGGTTGGGGTCAGAGTGGAAGATGCTGCCTTGCTGACTTAGGAGAAAGGGGCAATGAGCCAAGGGAAGCAAGCTACCTCTAGAAGCTGGAAAAGGCAAGAAGCATCTTAGTTCCCCACAGTTTCTGGGATAACAGCCCTGACAACAGTACTGTAGGATAATCAGTCTGTGCTGTTTTAAGCCACTTTGAGATAATTTGTTATAGCAGTCAATAATTGGTATCCAATACTGATGGCATCTACCACATGGGGCCATGGTGAGGATTAATTAGAACCAAGTATTGGAGCTATACAGTGCCCCTCGTCCCTCCAAGACATTCCTCTACCCTCTCCACTGCCAGGAGGAGGCTCAACTTTTCAGTTCTCGTCTGTAGGGATTCCTGACCTTTAGCCACTAGGAGGCATGAGCAGGAGAAAGTGAGAGAGGGTGGGGTATGTATTCCCCATTTCTCACTTGCCTTGCTTCTTCTCCATCCCAGAGGAAGAGCCTTAAGGAATTGTATCTAATTATCTCTGATACTTCCCATCAGGCTTCACCAAACCTCCCAGGATGTACCATTGTAGTCAGAATAGACAGTGCAAACTGGGGTGCTAATGGTGCTGTAGCCAGACTACTGGATGATTTCTACCATCATTAGGAAGAGAAGACTTGGTGAAGAAGGTTAAATGCAATGAAAACATGAGCCTCTGATAGGCTTGAGGCATCTTGAAGTTGGTAGAAAAACAAAAGTAAGTATCCTCTAAATTGGAGAATTTGTAATATCTCTGAGAACATATCAACATGTAATGAATGGATTTCAGTGGTGAAGCCTGGTACTTCTCATTTCACCTTAGTTCACCAGTATTTCTTCTGAACTAACAGCATGGATACTTGAGCCATAAAAACCTAGATGCACTACAAGGTAATTATCAATAGAAAATAATTCAAGCCTTGCTAGAATCCGTTAGCAATGCTAGCAGACTCTTTTCCAATCTGCTGAATGATGAATAGCTAAGCACTTTTGGCAGTTCTGTATCTTATAATCTATAAAGTGCCTAACACTATTACCTACAGTTTCCATACCCAATATCCCCTACTAAACACACACACACACATACACACACACACACACACACACACACACACACACACACACACACACACACACACACACACACACACACACACACACACACACACACACACACACACACACACACACACACACACACACACACACACACACACACACATGCCTAAGAACTAATAGCATTAAAATGTAGGAACTAGTTTACAAAATTTATGTATTTTATTTGCCTCTTGAAAAATAATGGGTATCAATTGGAATGCTTAATTTTTCCATTTCAGACTAGAAATAGATGCTAATATATTAAAATCTACAATGACTCATCATTGGATGAAATGTGAAAAACAAAATTTCCCATCAAGAGCAATCTCCCCTAGAGCTTGTTATAATAATTAGGGTCAAATCATTTGATGAGCTGTGATAAATGACCAGCTAGGGAAAATGTCACTCACTGTAGATGGCTAGAGGTCATCAACTCTGCCCCCCTTATCCTTAATTAATCCTCCAGAAACACCTCCTGTCCTAATTGTTTTGCTACGAATTTCTCTAGATGGATCTAAGGAAATTAGAAGTTATGCTCTTAAATATCAATTCTACCCTGGCAACTAGAATTTGAGAATTGAGGTCATTTGCATATCATTAAGATTCAGGTTAAAAAAATAACTTTAGGATAATCTCTTTTTCTTTTTATAACAGGAAGCAAGGTTAAAAATCTACATGTAATTTTATAGTTACATGTCTATCTAGGTAGAGTAGTTGGGTACACCTTAGTAAAGTTGACAGAAGACAAAATATCAAGACGTGTTTAATCTAAAATAATGTTTCTGCTTATATTTGTTAATTTAAGGGCTCAACTTTCTACCTTTTTAAATATAAAATGAGATTTATTTTAGCAGAGTGATCTATGAGGTAATTTGGATCCCTGCATCTACCCACAATGCTTACAGGCCTTGAGGTAGCAGATGTCCAGTGAGAGGCATTGTGGATACCTCCTTGTTTCTTTTCAGACCTGGCCTGATTTAATACAAATGATATAAATGAGAGAGCAACTATGCATTGACTTTTAATAAGTTCATTTTTCTCTCATTCCTATCAAGTTTTAGAAGGGAAAAATGAAGCAACACCCAATTATCTACAAGAACACAAACTAAAAAAAGAGCAAGGAATTTGCCTGCATATTTTTCTTTGCAAGAAAATAAAATCTCTGTTAATATAAACTATATTTTATATTTCTCATAGGATTTGAAAGTCTTATGATGATTTTAAATTGTGAATCATTCTCTTGTCCACAAATAAGAACCTCAATATTGTGTCTAAAATAAATTTTGTTTAGCATTGTTTCAATATCCTTTTTAATAATTGGTACTACTTGATAATAGGAGAAAACAAAAGAAAGCAAATCCAATTCTTATTACCCCTGAATACTGCAACATTTTTATAGAGTCGATTAAATATGCACCTAGAACAATTTTCTTTTCCCAAAATGAGTCGACTCAAGCTCTCTGGAGAATGTTTCATTATCTTAAGTAAAATAAACATATTAAACTTGTCATCTCTACACCTTAAAAGACTAATACTTTGCAAACGCAACCATTTCCACGTCTCGTAGTTCTGTTAAAAATGCTAAGAAAACTTTGATACAATATTATCTTCTGAAGTTCCTATCAAATGCCTCCAGATTTGACCAAAAGAGTGCACTGACATCTTTTATTAGTTCTCTATTATGTGGAATCAAAAATATCATTACAAACTCAATAAAATACCTCACAAATATAAAATAAAGACATTCTTTCAAGAAGTCAAGATCCCATTCCCATTGGCTGGGCCTTCCAGTGAAACATCTCTATAGCACAAGTTGGCAGAGAGTTTCTGCTTTCAAATGTCTCCAATGGAGTCAGTCCTATTTTATTCTGCATGCTGAGGAGGAGTCAGGCTTTCCCAAAACTGCAGCTGATAAAAAATGCATTAGAGCTAACTGGAAAGGATCCTTTCTGAAAATGCTAAAAGTTCTCTGACTCTTGGTGAAACACGATTTGCAAGGGTGTTGGCAGAAACAGCTATCTCTCTGACAAGCATCTCTTTCCTCAATAGCTGGAAACAATCCTTTCCTCTCTCCATGCAGGGATTTTTAATGAATTAAAACATTCATTCAAATACAACAATGTATTGATTTGGCCTGAGGGTCTAAAATGAATGTGTGAGGTAGAAGGAAATATATCACCATTTGTGTACATCTGGTTTCTCAAGTGGAGTGCATAAGACATTTGGAACAAACATAAAATGCTGGATAATGGCAATATTGGAAAGGAAGATTCGGGTGGCTGATGGAATGAATCACTTTCAGTGCATTAATAACCTTACATGATAGAAAAAGAAAGCGGGAGCCAACTGCTTAGAAGGATCCTGCATGAAAACATAATTATTAAGTTCTGCAATCGTGAACATGATTTCTTAATAATCAATTTCCAACATAACTAGGAAAAGCATACTTTCATTTCATGTTCATTAGAAATGCATAGCATAAAACTTTAAAGTGGCTGCAAATAGCCCAGCTCTTAGTTACTTGCTGACGCCTCCAGCTTGCGCTTATGGGGTGGGTCTTCGATGATCCTGTTGAGGTCCCCTCGGTTCTTCAGGTCCATTGGCTTCTCCCAGACAGACAGCTGCATCGTCGGGTTGAAGAAGAAAACCCGATCATCACCGGTCCAGACCACACACCTGTTTGAGATGAAAACGCATTTTAATCCCATCAAAGACTTCTAGTTAGAGCCATTAGTGTGTACTCTAATCCAAAAAGTCCTGTAAGGTGGGAATCCGGATGTCTCTAAAGTTTATATATGAAAATACAAATAATGACAAAGTTTGACTTTTTTAAAGTGCTTTTCAGATCTTTTTCATATTTTACCTCATTTGATTACAGAAAGACATATTCATGACCATTCTTTTACCAACATGGACATCAAAGTTCAGAGAAGCCAACTGGTTTAACAAGGTCATAGAAAGTCAGAGCTCTTTTCTGCATACCAACTGTCTCTGTCAGAATTTCAGCTCAGACCCTACATGCTCTGAGGGATCTCTGACTCCAAATCAAGTGATGGAGTGATTTGGAGAGTGGTTCCCTAAACTTCCCCAGTTAAGCACTGCAGGGCCATTGAGAAATGCATAAGTCCACAGCTCATTACTCTCTAGCAGCAGAGATAGCTATTAAATAGGTTGCTTTCATTAGCAACTGCAGTTCTGGTGCCTACTCCATTTTTAGAACAAAGGATTAAGCTTTGTATTTTTGTATGTGAGAATCTAAAATATCTGAAAGGAGCAATATGCAATTTCAAATCCCCTTATCTGTGGAAGGTTGTCAGAAAAGATAAAAAGAAAAAAAAATAAAGGAAAAAAGTAAAAAGGAAGAGATCTCTTCCTAAAGACTGGCAGAGTGAATCTGTAATGCAGAAATACACAGAGGAATTTGGATTCTGATCTCAGTATTTCCAATGAACTTGACTAATCAAAGCTGGCCACTGGCTTTTGGTTTTATACCATAACCAGTTTAGAATGTTGCAGAGAGTGACCCCTGTGCTGGTACCAAGGCCCATTTCTGGTCTGAGCCTCCCAGAAGGTTCTCCTTGAGCAGAACCAAGGCCCTTCCCCAATGTAATCTTGAATGATCTGTCATATTTACTACTCTGGCTATGTCAAGTTCATGGGTACAATAGAATGATGGTTCCAAAGAAGTCCATATCCTAATCCCTGGAAGTGACCGTGTCCATGGCTAAAGGGACCATGAATGTGTGACTAAGGTCTTGAGATGGGGAAATTATTTTGCCATATAAGGTGGGTACTAAATGTAATCACAAGAGTCCTTATAAGGGAGGTAAGAGGATCAGAGTCGAAGGGCATAAAAGTGGAAGCAGAGTGAAATAACATACATACACACACTCTCACACATATAGAAAGAGAGAGGTTGGGAGACATCATGCTACTAGCCTTGAAAATGAAAGAAGGGGTCATGGGCTCAGGAATTGCAGTGTCTTTTAGAAATTAGATACTGCAAGGAAATGAATTTTCCCTGGAACTTCTTAAAGGAACCAGCCCTGTGGACACCTTGCTTTTAGCCCATTGAGTCTCATATCAGACTGCTGATCTCTAAAATTATGAGATAATAAATATGTATAGTTTGAAACCACTAGTTTGTGGTGGATTAACTCTCAGGGCCAATCTGTTCTGGGTGCCAGCACACAATTAGCAATGACCCAAAATCCAGAGGCATTGGCCACAGCTGGCCTGGTTATCAGATGTGGAAGGAGGTTATGACCTGGGCTGTTGGCTGGCATCTCTTCAGCTTTAGAGCTGCCTTTGACCTTCCTGGTAATCCTGTGGAGGTTGCCTCAGTCTCCATGGTGGACTCATTTTACCGTTTCTGTAGGTAGAGATTAGCATGGATATTTGCTTTATTTTAATGATCCATCTCACAAGGAGAAATTGAGAAGGACAGAGGGAACATCCTGCTCCATGCAAAAGTCCCTGCTTCCACTGAAGGCAGTAGCTCAAGAGAACAGGCACATGTTTATAAGTCAGACAAGCCCCCATGTCCCTAGAGACTCTGAGTAAGAGATACCTAACTTCTTGGGGGCCTGGAGGGAGAATGCATGCTTTTATAGTACCAAACCCGCCTAGCATAGAAGTTTTTATTGAGTAGAAAGCTGAAGGTAATTATGTCCTACTGTAAATTATGCAGAGTTCAGATACTGCATGAACTCTCTAGATAGAGTGTGGGCTAGCAGGGAACATAAACCCGTAATAAGAACTAGACTTCTTTCCTCCCAGACGCAGATCTGGTGAAAGATAGACTGCTTCCTCAAAGTAGGGCTGTGCAATTGCCACATACAGAGCTTGTTCTTAGCACCCTACTATGCCTGTGCTTTTTGGGGAGCAGTGGGTGGGGGGATGGATGGCTTTTCTACTATGGTAGTTGGCTCTGTTTCCAGTTTCAACTCTACAAAGACTGTAGTTAATGTCATCATAAGAGAGTACAACCAGCAGCAGTAGAGGGATGTGAGGACAAATTCTGAGCCACTCACTCGTCATTTTGCCATGTATTGAATTAGGTTTGTTGGGAGCAGAAACAAACTTCAGCCACAGCTTTATATTCAGGCTCCAGAAGTCTTTTTTTTTTTTTTTTTTTACTTGGCTATGGCTAGAAAAATTACTCCAAGACTAAAGCTCCTGCTAGCCAGCAGATCCATTTGTAACAGTCTTGCTTGTATTGCTTTGTTTTATGATGTTTGAGTGTACTGGCCTGAGTGGAAAATTCTGGAAGCTTCCCTTGCTCTCTATATTTCTGTCTGTCTACACAATATTTAAGAGCTCTTTTGTGGACCCTAAGGTCTTCCCAAGAGTCCTGATCTCACCAGATAAAACAGAGAACAACTTACTGTGATTCAGATACAGTAGATAGACCTGAAGGATACCATATGTCCTTATTCATAAAAGGAGATTGGTCTCTGGAAGAAGTCATTCTGCCCTTGGGGTCCTGTACACACACCAGCAGCCTGGACATTGTACCCCAGCCTCTAATGGCCTCACTCTAGAGTTGGCCAACCTCTTCCCTTCTCTAGAGTCACTGAAGGGAGGGGCACTTGTGTAGGAGTTGTGGCCTTGGAGACCAGCCATCTGGTGTGGACTTTGCTTCTCTGTCTCTTTGCAAAATAAGGAATGTGTTTACCACTATGAGTCTCAGTGTTCTCATTTATAGAAGATGAATGAATGAATCCCTCCCAACTGCAATTTTAACATCTATTCTTCTTTTAATTTTCCAATTTAGTGCCAGGACCCCAGACATGATCACTATTGGTGGTCTCTATCTGCAAATCAACTTCACCTGACAGATGCACCTACCCCCAAGATATGACTGAGAGTGTTGGCTGCTCTGGGCTCACTGCTGCATCTTCTCTGGATAATTGGTCTCTACCTGCAATCCCTGACTGTCTGACAGAGATAAAAAGGACAGGCCAAGTCTGGTGTAGTTATGGTCCAAAGCCCTTGGCCTGGACTCCATCCGATGTCACACCCATGCTTAGCCCCTGCTTCTCTTTCCCCTTCCTGCAATAGAGATGTGGCTACCTGTGAGTGACTGAAAGTGATTCCAGGAATGGTGCTACTCTTGGGAAGCTTCACTCAAGACAAATGCCACATGCAAAGAAGGACTAAGTGCTCTCAGGAATCTTCCCAATAGCCTAGATGGCATGTGGTATTTATATCAAGAGAAATATTTGTCCCTAAACCTGCAACTTTCTTAAAATACCTATTCTCTGGCTTTTCAGAAATAAGACCCACTCCTATCCAGTACAGGAACTGCCATCGTCAGGACCAAGGTAATAATATTACATGTTCACTGAAAAGTGTCCAGTTAATTAAGATTTGCTGAAGTGAGAAGTATTAAGGCATGTTTAATTTATTCCACAAGTGGATAGAATATCTCATGTGAGAATTATTAAGCATCTGGGAGACCCCAGGAACACAAACATGAGGTGCTGGTGGGGGGCGGGGTGTGTGTGGTCTATGAACCCAGAGAGGGTTAGTTCTAGGCCAGGCCCAAAAAGCAAAAAGTGAAGACTTATCCTTAGCTAATACCAATCCTTCCCACCTGGCTCTGGGAGGTTTCCCTAATCTGGGAATAAATGCACTTTTCCAGGTGGCTCATGATAACTCACTAGCTTTTCTGAACACCAGTGGGCAGCACTCTCTCGTCAATGGAGGGAGGCAGGGACTAAAGAACTAGGGGGAATTGGAAGGAATTGAAAATACATGAGTGAAGATAATTAAGTATCTCTGGCTCCCAGACAAGAAAGCTGTGTAGAGCTATGGAGTTTGAGAGCCATTGGATTTCACCTTTGGGATGTGAGCAGCCATTTACAGATTTCTTGTCAACCTGACACTAGGTTGAGAGCAAGTCAGTGGGTTTGGGCAGGTGAGCCTAGGCAAGTGGGTTGATACAAGAAGGTCTAGGCAGGTTGGTCAATCCAGAAAGCTGTGCATCAATTAGGTGCCCACTGAAGTCTCCCCTAATGCTAGGTATAAGAGAGACACTGGCCTTCTGTAGTGGAGGGGGAAAAGTGGTGGGCTATCCAGGTCACACTCCTCCACCTGAGGTGATGAGACCCACCCTAATTTCTCCAGGTGTCTAACATCCAAAGACCACAGCAACTCAAGGAAATTTGGTTCTTTGAGATCTTCTTCTGAGGGCTTCTAGCCTGTTGTGTCCTTTCCCTGAAGGATCGAATACGCTGAGACACTATAAAACAAGCATTTCAAAAGTTCTCCTATTAGAAGTTGCTATACGACTCTTTATCTATCTAATAGACCAGTTCATTTTCTCATCAAGCTCCTGAGATATTTCACCCTCTGGCTTCCAAGCTTTGCTGTTAACTTAAGAAAGAGTCTTTACATTTGGGGATTTATATTTATTTGGCCAAATTCTCCCAGATCCTAGATCAGTCTTTGTTGTAAATTCAGTGCTTCAGGGGATACACTGATGCTTTAAATTCCTGGTGCTCAGGTGCAGAGATGCCCACAGTTCATCCTAGATCCAGTGAAAACCCAATGCCTTGGGATGCCTAAATGGATGAAACAGTTGCCAAGTCCCTAACTTGCCACCACTGAACTTCTAATGCCAAGGAGAGTAGCTAATTAGGACTTAATAAGTGATTATTACCCAGGAGATG